GGTCGATTCTACAGCCGGCCACGCCTTGATGAGTTTTATGGATGGCTACTCCGGCTTCCATCAGATACCCATGTGGAAAAAGGATCAAGAGAAGACGGCCTTCGTCACTGATCAGGGGCTATTCTGTTATACTGTGATGCCGTTTCGCTTGAAAAATGCGCCTGCCACTTTCCAATGGATGCTTAATACGGTCTTCATTAATCAGATTGGGAGGAATGTGGAGGCGTACATTGATGACATGATAGTCAAATCCAAGCTGCAGACGGATCACCTTGCTGATCTCCGAGAAACATTCACCACCCTCAGGCGGCATAAGGTTGTGTTAAATCCTAAGAAATGCGTCTTTGGTGTTGAGTCTGGGAAGTTTCTCGGATTCCTGATTGATCAAAGGGGAATAGAGGCTAACCCCGAAAAGATACAGGCAGTGATTGACATGAAGTCACCCCGCTCTGTTAAGGAAGTTCAGAGACTCACCGGTTGTATGGCCGTCCTGGGGAGGTTCCTCAGCCGGTCAGGTGACAAATGCCTCTACTTCTTCCAAGCAATCAGGAAGAAGACCAGATTTGAATGGGGGGATGATGCTGAGGCAGCGTTCCAGAGGTTGAAAGAGCATTTACATTCTCTGCCTAGGTTGGTCAGTCCTTTGCCTAGGGAGACGTTGTACATGTATTTAGCCATCTCAGACCATGCCCTCAGTGTCGTTCTCCTTGCTGAGCGAGATGGCGTGCAGCTCCCGGTTTACTTCATTAGCCATGTTCTTAAAAATGCTGAACTCCGGTACCCCATGGTTAGCTTAGGTTCCAGTCCCCTCCCGATTGTTGTTGCGGGGGATCGATCGAACACGAGTCCTTACTACCAAAGTACCAAGTACCACTACACCAACAACCAATTGGTAGGATATTAATCATATGTAGTTTGATGGTTTAGATGTTAGAGAAAACATTACTCATGAGATATTATAATAAGATTCATTTCAATGAATGTAAAATTTTATAATGCTAAGCCACATCAAATCAGATCAAATATTATCTTTTTATTTGCATACATTTTTGGTTGAAACTTTTTGTATTTGTAATTTCTAAAATTAAGAAAATTTCATATTTGAAAAGTGCATGCATATTAATACAAATCTAATGAGAACTCATTTCAGGGGCGGACCCATGAAGGAACAAGGGGGGACCATTGTCCCCCCACTTTGGGGAAAAAAAACAGAGGAAAAAAAAAATTTAGGAAAAAAAATAAAACTGGAAAAATAGTTATATAAATTGAGTGTAAGAATAAACAAGAAGTTTGCCTTAGCTAAGTTGGTAGTGGGTTAAAAATAATATGTCAAGGGGCTAAAAACTTTTACCACCCGCAAAAAACAAAAAATTTGGTATTACCCCCTCCATAAAAAAAGTTTTACCCAATAATATGGTGACATGTGGACATGATAGGCCCCACTAACGAATTTATGGACAGAATCCGTTAGTTGGCGGTGATTGGTGGTAAAAGTCAATTTTCATTTTTTTTATGTGGTGATAAAATATTTTTTTTATAGAGGTGGTAAAAGCAATTAAGTGGTTTTTTAGATGTGGTAAAAATAAAAAATTCCTTTATTTTAACCAAACCACTCGACTACTCCCTTATTCCTATTTCCCAACCACGAGGCACGAACCACCACCCACGCGACCACGAGTCACGGACTGCAGCGAGCATCTTCGGCAAATGTTTGCTAAGAAATTAACATCACAAGATAATATGGCATTCGAATCCTCCTTGTAACATCACTCCTTTTTTTTTTGGGGGGGTGTTTTATTTCAACCATAACACTCGACTACTCCCTTATTCCTATTTCCCAACCAAACCCAAATTACTTGTATTGTGTACCCGTTTTTTTTAAATAGGTTGATGTTAGTTGAATTATCGAAATTGTCCCCCATTGTCAAATTTCTAGGTCCGCCACTAACTCATTTGACAATTATTTATCTAACGTGTGTGCATAAATAAGGTCAAATTTTGGTCAAATCTAGAAATGAAATTAGAAAAGTTCTGATCAAATTAGATCATGTGAACTAAACTAAAGTGGAATAAGAAGTTAGAGGGAGAGAAGAAAGAGTATCGAAGAGAGAGAAAATGAATGGGCGAAATGAACATTACATATAAAATTAATAACATTACATATAAATAAGGCTTTATTTATTTATTTCTTTCACAAGAATGAGGCTTCATAAAATAGAACATTACATATAAATAAAACATTAATTTTGTCACAATGTTCTTTTATTTACATAGTATATGTAATGTACTTTCGAATGTACCATGCACATGGTACACCCTCCTCTACCATACTATTTTCAGATATAATTGTTAGATTATACGGAGTAACATACAACACTGTGGCATTAAAAGTTCTCATTGTACAAAAATAAAACATAGATATAATATCTCAACTAGTGTATAACCCCGGCTTTGCCCCGTGTAATACTTTGAATAATTTCATTTTTATTTTAGACACTTTAAAAGACATGTTAATTTTTTTATTATGGGTATTGTATTTTTTTTGAAATCATATTATGAGTATATTCTAATAAAAATAAAAATAAAAAACTAATTTTGGATTTTTTATTGAGTTTATTCTATATTATAATACTTGTATGTATTTATATATAAATTTGAATTAAAAGATCAAGAATGAATGTGAGTGTTTGTTTTAATAATTATATACACTTTTATATATTTCTTTTTCATATTTATAATATGTGTGATAATTGGCTTAGATGGTTGTAAAGTCAATTTTGTTATGAGTGGTTTGGGGTTTGAATCTCCGAATCTTCATATTTTTAATAATATGAAGTGTTTGTGAAGTGACGTGGCAAAGTGACATGGCGACATGAATTGGATTAGTATAGATTGTTGATATTATGTAAAATGTCATTTATTATGATAGAAATAAATATCTTTCAAGTTGAATTGAATTAGATGACTAAACAAATAATTTAAAATTCAAGGTTTTGAATGGGTATTTATCATAATTTAGAATCTGACTTGTAAAATCTAATAATCAATCTTTATTACTTGTGTCCCATGGCTGAACTTTGACGGACCTATAATTAGTATGGAGTTTGTATTAAGGCCGGTCATATCTAATCTGAAATTATATGAACCTATCTTGACATAGCATCTACTATTGTTGATCGTTTAAGTTAGGGTACATTTGATTATCGAATAATATGAAGAGTGAAATCGTCTTTAAAAGATACTCGTAATATTCGTCAAAAAAAAAAAAATACTTGTAATAATATAAATGAATCCATCAATATCAAGTATATCATTTAAGATCACAGTCAAACATTAAATAAATACGGAGTACATCTTATGGTTTGTTTAATAAGCACACAAATTTAAGTGTTACTACTCAAGAATGAATCTTTTACATTTTCTTGTCCATCAGCAATTCAAGTCAAATATTCAAAGCAAAATAAAGAATATGGTTATTTTAATTCTGTGACATATGCCATTATGCCCCAATGGAAGACTTAGCCCTACCAAATTAATAATGGTAACACTAATCATTCGAAAGTGATAAAATGATAACCTAAGATTTCTTTATAATAATGGGCAAGGAAGACATATCCAGGATTTGATATTCAATGTCAAACAAACTACAGCAGTATACGGTGATAATGTGTAAAATATTCATAATATGTTCTAGACATTTTCGTTTTGGGATTTTTAAATGGTTAACCGTTTTTACTCGTCTTTTTACACATTTTTTTTATATATATAACTTTTCATTCAAATTCATTCATACTTTATCCGCTTATTATTTTTTTAATTAGAAAAAATAGGACAAAATTATCATAAACCAAGGCAAGTAAGGCAATATAAACTTAAGGGGACTAATGTGGCTGGTAGTGATCACGAGTTCGATTTCAATACTTGTATAGCAAAGGTAGGAGTCTTCCTTACTCACTTGTACTCAATGGTTATTTATGTTGCAAATTTGTTCACAGTATAAGGTTGTTGAAACAACTAGAGCTGTCATCATATTTGATTTTTGTGAAACGCACTTATCATAGACGAGATGATTTAGAAATTAATTTATTATCTTTCTAACAATATAAAAAAATGTGGCAAATTCATACATACCCTTTCCCTTGATTGGACGCCCATCAAAGTATCCAGCACAGGAAAAAAAAAAAAATAGATTCAATGGATATGTAGTTAGTGACATCATCAATCTAACCTACCAATGAATTGAAAAGAACGTAAAATATTTCAATTTGAACAATTACACGTAATCAATTATGATCCTTGAGGTTAATTTCCCTAACTCATGCCTCAGTTTATCTGGATTTTGAATTTATTAGATTAGTGTTGTAGATTGGATATAGTCCAATCGATTGTTGAGCTATTTCATATGCAATTCAACATATTTGCGCTATTGGATATGTTATGTACAAAGTACTAGATGTATGTAGTTCAACTGATATCAAACTGAGTCAATTTAAATACAATTTGATCCAAATTTTGAATTCAATTTCTTTTAGGCTCAAAATATTTCACAAGACCAAACAATAATAAAACTAACATTTACTCCATAAACTAAAGTTCACTTTAGTGCATGTAAGTAATTATGTAATTGTATATTCTATACAAGTCTTTTCCTATATACAATACAACCTTCAAATATAAGCTCCATTTTGTTTGACAAAAACTTTTTTAAAGACACAAGCTCACACAACGTCACTACTCCATACCAAATATGTTACTCTCTCCGTCCCTTATTGTTTGCATCATATGACCCCAAAAACTCTTATAAAAAGTAGACTCATGATGCAAACAAAACAAGATTGAGGGAGTAGCAGTTGCACTTGCACACAATAGAACTATACTAGCACCATAGTCCATTTTATAAAATCGTGACAAGCTTTAGCAACAATGAATAAACAAACTAAATTTTTTTAACTACCAAACGGCCCACTTATACGATTTCTAAAATGGGCTGTATTTCAAATAAAATTGATCCATCAAATCATCATTTCATGGGTCCAATATTGAAATCCATGATACATAAATTCATTTCTACATTCATCAATTACAGTATCACCACTTACGGCTATCACCACCGTCATCGCCGCCGTGCTGTGTTCTTTCCGAATCCAGGTAATGTTTCTTTGTCTTTTCTGAGTTTAATTACAGTATTTAATTTGATTCGCAAAATTCATTAATTAGGGGTTTCTTTTTAATTACGTATTATCTGTCAAATCTTAAATACGAATTGTTAATCATGAAATGTACATTGATTGATTTAGATTTTCGCACGTTATTTATTAGTTTGTTGTTGGATTAGGGTTTAATTTAAGCTAAAAGTTGGAAGTTTTTGGGATTAAGTTGAGTGAAGAAAGAGGATTTTAGGATGATTGTAGTTGCAGTAGATTATGCTTAATTTGCCTTAATTTGGAGATGAATGGATGATGAATTGGGGATCAATGATCATGTCTCTGTATATTATTTTTAATCATATTCATAATTCTGTTTGTTCCATCATAATTTGGATGGAAAATTATTGCTCCATTTATATGAATCATTGGATGAAATTGGGGTTTCCCATTTTGCCAGTAAAATGCAATTAAGGTGTGATACAGTGATCGCGTAAATTTGGAGTTAAAATGCTCTTCAGGGTGGCTATAATTGATATAAATTGTATTGGTTTACAAATTATATAATGTAATGCTGAGTATTTTAAATCAATCAATCGACTGATATTTAAGGAGAAATACAAACTATGTGAATTTCTGTATGTTTCAAAGTAACCTTTTTTGGGTGGTTAGAAATAGATTTTTGAAATTTATGTGCAAACTATCATCACACACTATACATCATACTATCATATATCTCTTTTTACCAGGACATTGCCTTTAACAGGATGCATTACTGGCGTTGTTGCATTGCTGTTATCTTAGTTGCAAATATAATTTCTACAGTAACAACTACAAAATTATTCAGTTTTTAGAGTTTAGACTAATTATTTGTTGCTATAATTTGGATACAGTTAAGTGTGCATACAACTTCATGAACAACAACTAGCTAGTGCAAATCGTGAAAGTAGGGTCTGGGGAACTAAAGATGAAAGCTACTTTTTTTTTAGTTAAGAGGCTGTTTAGAGAGACTGTTTGCTACATGTTTAGAATTGACTTCTTATTTAAGCTTTGATAACTGAATGTAGTTTGAGCTTAGCCACAAGTTGAAGGGGGAATGATTTTCTTGATCGTTGAAGCTCCTCATGCAATTCATATGATTACGGGAATATCATCTGTATCGGATATATTGGGTGTTTATATTGATTTAAAAAAACTCTCTCTTTTTGGAAATGATAGTTGCATACTGTTTTAGGATGCCTTGTTTGTTTTGCTACTTTATATTAACTGGTCATGGTTTATGCTTGGGCTTCCTAAGATGCCTCTATGATCGAGTGATGGAATGAGTGACAGGATTTTAACTATTCTAAGGATCTTTTAGTAGTATGTGACCATTTTCAGACAAGGATTTAATTGTATACTTGTATTCAAAATTTGAAGTTTATTAAGATTTGAGTGGGAACATGCAGGTGCTTGTATATCCAAGGGAAGCTTGCAATTGGAGAGAAAGGCACAAGATTACAGTATGAAAGACAAAACAATTGGCTACTGAAGAATGAACATCGCTGGAGGATATGATCAAATGAGGTAGTTATCATAAGAAATGGAGGATATGATCAGATGAGGAAGTAATCATACGAAATGGCATATATCTGATAGATATGCAAAAGTTTCTTCATTCAGAAAATTTCCAGACTTGAGAGAAAATCAGAAGAAATCTAGATGGAGCTGCATATCCAAGCCTTCCTAAACAGAATATCTATTATTGTTTCTACTATTGCCACCGTCATCCTTTTTTCCATTCTCCTCCATCCACCAGAAACTTGTATTCCCCATTTGTCGCCTCACAACCCTCTCAAATTTCCTCACTCCACTTGTGATTCTCATCATCACCCCCGCCCTTTCTCCACCCTTGAAAAGAAGAACCATCGCCTCTGGTCTACTTCTGCGTGGCTGAACAAAGTTAAGTCATTTTCTCGTGTCTTCATTGATGCCCAGAAGAAAAACCCTTCTCACAAATTTTCTATCCTATCAAACTCTTCCAAGTCCCTCTGCCTCTTAGCTGGTGCTGGACAGGAAGTAATGGCTCTTCAACAAATCGGTGTGTCTGATGTTACAGCCATTGATCTTGTTGACTCACCTCCACTTGTTAGTCGTGCTGACCCTTACTATTTGCCTTTCTTTGATGATGCTTTTGATTTCGCATTCTCTGCTCAATTTGACATTGCTTTGTTTCCCTCCCGGTTCATTACTGAGATGGAAAGGACAGTTAGGGTTGGGGGTTTTTGTCTTTTGCTTGTGGAGGAGTGTACCGATGAGGAGGTGAGACAAATAGAAAGGTTGTTTAAGAGAGGAGAGTTAGTTGGTGCTGATAATTTGACATTCAGTGGATCAAAAATGACCAGAATTGTTGTGCAGATTACAAATTCTACAATATATTGATCGCATATTAGTACGCTGTTCTGATTGTTTCAATTTGTATATGAACTCTTAGTTTACTCTTCTTGTATGAAATTTAGCTATTTATATGAACTTCTATACTACCCTCCATCCCAATCTCGAGTATGTATCGATGGCTTAGAAATTGCATATATGTTGAATTGAGATCCAGCCTTTTCTTTGCTTCATATTATGAAAGTATGTATTAATACCTTAGAAATTTTGATATGTATGGTTTTTCTCATGTTTATACAAATTTCTCTTTCATTTTTTCAGATATTACCATGTTTTTTTGTTCATCATATGTACATTGAACTTTGTGGATTAATAAAGTTGGCAACTTTTTCAGATGCTTATCTAGTCTATAAATTTCAACATTTTTATTTTGATATCCTATAGTTTAATGACAATAAGGATGTAGATATAAATAAAATGGGGACAGAAAATGCCATTTATAAAGTCTAAACCTCCAAAAGCTATTTTAAAATACTATTTGAAACTTTGCAACCTTAAAACATTACTACATTATTGGACAAAGCTGACAATCTGATTTTGTTTCAAAGTCAAGTTGAAATTTGGCAAGGTCAATATGCTAATCATGATCTAAAAAGCTATTTCCAGAAAATGCCTTAAGGTGAAGATGCCTAAGTGATCCATGAATATGTCATGCTTTATATTGGTACTAATTGTATCTTTGTGCTTTAATTATTGATGATATTGTTAAAGGTTGGGCACCCCCCTTCCCTGTTTATAATTTATAATAAAATCATAATAATTTGTTTATACTTTTTTTGGTCATTAAGCAAATTCACGACCAAAACTTAAAATCATAATAAATTAATAATCTCTAACAATAATGTATTTTCTCCATCCAATTTTAGTTATTACTCCGTATTACCTTTGCTCTTATTGAATCTTTTTATTTTTTTGAACAACTGTTCTTGTTTATCTATACATGTTTTGTAATTTTACATTTTTTATGAACTTAACTTTGACTGTATTGCAATCAAAAGGATCGATGATTGTTACTTAAATTAGTGCAATAACAAATGTATAAGTCAAACTATATAGATTGTAGTAACTAGCCCAAGTTAGTCTCCATCATAAAGTCGGATTTCTTCCGCTTTAATTTTTTTTTTACCAATTTTCTGCTTAGAGGCACTACTTTGGTAGCCGAGGGTGTGTTCGGCACAGTATAGCTGTGAAGGTAGCGGTAAGCTGTGGTAGTAGATGTTGCATGTAAAGTAGTGGTCGACTGGCTGTTACAGATAAAAAACAATTATTTTTTTTCCTAAAACTGTAGATTAAATTTTCAACGGCTATCTCTAACTTCAAAAGCTAATATTTCAAACTTTTGATACCACTAAAAGCTACCCTAACCACTACATTACCAAACACTATTATTTTTTGCTAAGTAGTGGTTTTACCAAAAGTTACTCAAAAGCTTTACCAAACACTAGCACAAGCTACTTTCACCACTAAAATCTACCCTAACCACTACATTACCAAACACTACTATTTTTTTTGCGAAGTAGTGGTTTGACTTGACTTGGTCAAACCACTATAAGCTATTCGAAAGCTACTGCCAAACTCGCCTAAAGAAGCACAACATTCAAAGCAAGGCTAGGTGAAACACAATGGAGATAGCTAATAATGCGCGTGGTGAGGAGAGGAAATGGTTGTTGCGGAGGAGGTTCATATTGGCGAGAGAGGTTGCTGAATTAGAAGAGCAAATTAGGGTTTGAAGGATTAGTTAGAAACCCTAATACCATTATTAACTCCTTAAGGATGACCATATTTTCATATGGAATACAAAGTTGTATATTATGAGTTTAACAATGCACATAAAGCATTTAACCATTTAGACCCTATTCACTTCACCTTATTTTTATAGAATTGAAATTATTTTTAATGAACTAAAATTATTTTTACTGCATTTAAATAATTTTAATTAAATTGAAATTAATTTTACTAAATTGAAATTAATTTTGTTGAATTGAAATTAATTTTGCTGAAGTGAAATTATTTTTACTGATTTTATATTATATTTCTTCTTTAAATTATCATTTTTACTTAACTAAAATTATTGTTACCGAACTCAACTTATTTTTACTTAATATAATTTTTTTAAAAGGTGAAGTGAACAGGGCCGTACTTGTATATGCTAAGATTGCTAACAATATCTATGGGGTAAACCGACTATACACATCAAAAATCCTATATGATGAAACTTATTTCTGGTCGAATATTAAAATTAGCATTATGTATTTGATTCAACTAACTTTGGACATTCGATTATAACATTTTGATATTTAAAATTTGTTTTTGTTTTAAAAATTAAATGTTATGTTATTATCAACATTAACATAAAAATGCAGGTACATGTTATAACATCTAAATTAATACATCTTTTTCTAAAGATTTTTTTTCAGAGAGCCGCAAGGGCACCTAGGTCTTGAGTATCACCTCCCAACACTTTAAATTTATGTTAAAAAAATATAAAACACAGATAATTGGTTAGATATTTGTTATCCACCACTTCAAATAAAGGGACAACATTTCCCTTACTAAAATCTTCCCCATATTCTTTCTCTTAACTTCATTCCATGATTTCCACCCACCACTTCTAAAGCAACCACATCAACCACCACCGGTACCACCCACGCCACCATGTCGACCACTACAACCCACAACCACCACCATCTACACCAGATTGCCAAGAATTATAATAGTTAATCAATATAATTATCTACAACAATATTAATAAAATTAATTAGAATAAGTTTTGAATAAAAAAAAATTTTAAAAAGTTGTTGGCTAACGACACTCAAAACCGGTTGGCCGCCACTGGTAATCGGCGGTCAAAACCGATTGACCAGCACAGTCAACCGGTTTAGACCGTCGTTTACCGGTGGCGGTCAACCGGTTTTGAGCGCCGGTTACCGGCCACCGAAATTTAAAAAAAAAACTTAAATTCAAAACAAAAAGCTAATCGGCAAACTTACCTCCTTCCCCGGTTTCCAGCCATGTCCCCACCGTCAACCATCATCAGTTGTGTACGCGCCGCCACCTCTTGAACGTCGTTGACTGGTACGCCGGTTGTCTCTGTGGTGGTGGTGGTTGTATTTGGGGATGTTGAGGGGTTGTTGATGTGAGAGAAAAAAAGAAAGAGGAGAAAGATGGGTTTGGGTTTAGTATTTTAGTAAGGGCAATAATGACATTTTGCTTAAAAAGCTGGCAGTTTTGATAATTTTTGTTGGCGGTATTTAACACTCTCCTATTTAAAATATATTTAAACTGATATTCAAATTGGTATCTGGTACTCGAAATTTGTGGATCGAATATCCAATTCAAAATCAATATTAGATTTTGAAATAGCTTACTCATCCCTAATGCCCAATGCTATTTTAAATTCTACTCAGTTGAGTTCTATCAATTTGCTTATTTGAGCTAAAAATTAGCAATTTAAATTTATTTTTTTTTAAAAAAAAACAACAAAAACAAAAAAAAACAAAAAACCTTAAATGTAGTACAATCATGTGTATGGTAAGCTAAAACATTTTGCACACAAAACTTTTGAACGGTGATTGATGTCTTAACAATTGAAGTACTAATTAAATCTAAAAAGTCATTGCATCTATTAACACAATGATTACTAAGTGTAGTTAAGTCTGAGGTATTCATAGCTTTCTTTGCTTAGACGTATGTTATGTGCATGGAGTTGAGATTCGATGTGTTGGTTTCAAAGACCTTAATTATTATAAGCCTTGTTATTAGGTACTAGTTTTGAGTGAAATTTTAAAGTTTGATTGATGTATAAGAAGATACTCTTTTTCTTTTCGTCACAACAATTATATTGTCCATTTGAATTTGTTTTGATAAGACGTTATACACTCGAATGTGAATACGAATGTAAATTTCTTCTAACATACCGTTATTAATTATTTAAAATAAATAATAAATTAATAAATATATAGGGGAAACCTAGCCAATAAAAACAATAATAAATAGTTACATCTTTATCATTTTCACTTTATGAGATCATAGTGGTAAAAATAAGGCCCCCTTATCTTTGTAATGTCAACTTCAATTTGATCGAGGGTCCATGTAAAAAGATAATTAGACCTTTGAAAAATGTGGCATATTAATCTTTATAGTAACATCTCGTTATTACTAGGGCCTATAAAATCGTAATTTAATGGCAATCATGTCACATTGATAGTGTATGAAACGTTAGCATATGATAATAATTATTTTGCTTAATTAGTAAAACTAAAACATAATCATCGACGAATCTTTCTTGCACTTTTTGGTTCATAAAAAAGCACACAATCATAACTTCTAGGTTTAATCAACTTTGTTGTAATTAGTGGAAGTATGATTATTATCTAATCTATTGCTATACTTTAAGTTATCTAAGGTACATTCTTGCTGTTAAAGTTTGGTGCTCAGATCCCCATGCAGCCATGCATACTAATTATAGTTGCTTGCTTATAACAACTCTCACTAGCTAAGTAGCTAGTACTGTATATCAGTACGTATGTGTTAAAGTGTGTTACTAGAACACTCTAGATATAATATTATAATATCTCATGCCATGTACGAGTTGAGTGTAATTTAACTTAGTGTTACCACTTGTTTTTGAAAGATATTAACATTTACAATTTGCACACAAATTATGAAATTTGAAAATATGATTTTAAATTAATATGGCGACTGTATGTGTGTAAGAAAAATATGATAAAGTAAAAGAAAAAAATATAAAAAGATGAGTATTTATAAGAAACCGTATAAATTATAAACGGTAAGATAAAATTATCAAAATTTGTGGGATAAGAGAGAGAAAATAGTAAAGGAGTTTGCCAAATTGTTAAACGCGGGTCTGGGCCGCACCCGCAAACCAAGAGAGATAGTTCACTTCATAAGATCAAAGGAGGTTCTATCACAAAACCATATGACAATAGGAGGAGTAGCCCCTTAGGCTTATAAAGTATTTAACTCTCTTCTTCAACCAATATGGGCCGGGACATTTACATGTGGTAACACTTGATAGGTTTATTCTTCAACACTCCCCCTCACATGTAAGGTCCCTTTTAACTTTGTCTCATGTGATTTTTCAGGCTAGAGTGCTTCTTCACTGCCCCTCACATGGACCTACTATTGGCCCAGTGAACTTAAGCCATTTAAGGTCCCATATCGTGAGCCTGACTCTGATATCATGTTAAACGCAGGTATGGGCTGCACCTGCAAACCAAGAGAGAGAGAGAGAGAGAGT